CGTAACTGTCAAAGTACAGCTTCTCGCTTCCTTTCTTAGATCAAGCTGTCCAATGGGAGCCCTTTCCATCAGAGCTATCCAGGTTCAAAATACCGCACTCTATCTTGCGAGGTCTTTTTGGCAGCTCATCTCTTAAAAACACTCCTCTAAAGTTTTTAAAGTTTAGCTTCTCAGCCACATCCATCAGCTGAAAGTTTGACAACGGAACGTTCGGAAGCACAACTCCTTCCACCTCGATATTCATTTTGTATTATGTAGTATATAAAAAGGTAGTAGTTTTGTTATCCATTCATAACGAAACTTTTTGGGGTTTCAAAACTGTGTCTCTATAAGCTGCTTCACATTGTTGTAAAGTGTGGTAAAGTGTAATTTGGAATGTGTATCTTTCACCACACCATTAGTGACCGTAAACCCACGACCTGTAAGATGCTTCAGGTCGTTGTAAGGCATAATGACAACCTTTGTTTTACGTCTTGGCATGGTTTTATATATTTAATCACTTTTGTAGTTTGTAGTGGCCGTGTGCTAATGTATCTTATCCTCCAGTATGACTCGTTTGTCATTGTCGGTGCTCAATGCTATCTTGTTGACTTCTTTGGTGTAGATGTCATGGAGGTGGGATCTAATAACATTCATCGTTCTGTACTGCTCCTTACCACTCTCCAGTGCCTCTTTGTAGTCATCATGACTGATGGTTTTCTTGACTACGGCCTTCTTTGCACCCTTACATTTCTTCTCTTCATCGCCTTCAAACTTTTTGTACAAGTAAAGCTTGGCCCTCAACCCGACAAACTCTTCAATCAGGTCTCCCTTGGCTTCGTCCTTGAACGTGCCAAGCACATATTCGTTAACTCCGGTTTTTATTCCAGAGGGGTGATCCTTAGGAATCTTGCTCATATCGAATAGTTTATCCACGTCGTGTCATGGTTCCAATATATGAGACCAGAGAAAATAAAAGAACTCCGAGGCAATTTTCTTCCTCAAAGAACACTTTTATGACACTACATGTATCAGCACGAACAAAGGTAAAACCAAGTCTGAAGTTCCCACCCCCTGGTTACAAAGTTTCAAGTTGAACTTCCCATCCCTGCAATGTGTCATATATCACAATCCCCAATTAACTGCTTTGGCAGGCTGAAGCTTCCGTTAGAGTGCCCGCCAAAAGTTAGATAGAGTGACCTTGGTTCCCACAGAATAATTCTTGTTGTGTCTAAGATAAGAGAATACCTCTTCCCCCTCTCATCACTGTGCCAACCAAGAGCAAAGTGAAGATGGCTACGGCCAGATCTATGCGATGGTTGACACGTCATCAGCGATGTCCGCATAGAAATCTTTAATTTTTATTTTGTACATCAGCCTGTTGTCGGTAAACAACAACTCTGCTCTATCTCTGTACTTGTAGTTGTAGTGGAAATTGTACATCAGAGTCTTGCTCAAGTCCAATATACACGCACCTAGATATATCAGCTTGTACGTCAGCTTTGTTTTTGTCATGTGAACGGCGGTCAGGTTTTCGTCAAATATCATGAATCTGTCATAGTTTGTTTGGGTGATCAGTTTCAATGACTGTTTCTCACTCATAACCAGCCTTATGTCCACGTGGTTCTCAATGTTTTCCATGGTTTTTCCGAAGACACTGTTGTTCATAAGTTTGAAGAAGTCTTTCTCAAACTCGTAGGTAGCTTTCATTCTCAAGCCAGTGTTCAGATCGATGTACTTTTTCAGCCACGGCTATTCTTTGAACTTTATTCCGCTGTGAATTTTTGTAATCTTCAACCCGAGGCTCTCGTACTGCTTCAAGTTATCGTAATGCAGGCTGTACTTGGTTTTGTTGTACAAGTTGGGTATTAATTTTTGCACTTTTGATCCTTCGGGTATAATATTTTCTGGAGCTAACAGGTAATCGTTGTGAAGATCGTGCAGCTCTTTTGGGTATCCCAAGTCGACCATGAGCCAACAACCTACTCTATCTTGGCTGGTAATGGTTTTCTAGTTGTTGAGTTCCATTCGTCCATCCATTGAAATCCACCAACCGGAAGCGGTTTGCTCATCATCCATCCATACAATTTGTTGGCATCCAGATAAACAATGAAGGTTGAAGGCTTACTCTTGTTAAAGGCCTCGCCCATGTACTTGTTGTTTGCTTGGGCGGATTGATGTGACCCCGTCGCAGATTCCATGTTTAAAATTGAGCAGCATATCGTAGTCGCTCAACAACTCCAGTTCAACATTCGTCATCTTCAGCGCTGCGTCCCAAGCGAGTCCCTACGACGTATAGTACCAGGCGGGATCTAGTCTCTGAAGTTTTCAGAGACGTCGGCTAATTGCAACATGTCACTCTTGTTGTACAGATTGTGGTAATCCCTGAGTGTTTTACAACCAAATTCCACCCACACCTCCTTCACATGCTCATAGTCGTCGTCGCTTATCTCAACGCCATTCAGTTTTGAATAAAAGGTGGACTTTGGAAGCAGTTCGGTTTCGTTTAACCTTTCAGTGGAGTCCATGTACTTATACAGGTAAACTCCTTTTCTCAGCAATAGCTCAAACTTTTCCGCTGTATTCCTTTGCCAAATTTTTACACTGGTCTTTGCTAAGATTCTTTGTCAAAGCAGCAAGGCTTTTAAGCATGAACCTAAAGCTGTTGATAAACCGTAATTGTCATCTAACTAGTTTTACCTTTCCCTTTCTGTTGACGAACTTGTCAATAACCACCTCTCTGCTGAACAAAATATATTTTTCCTCGTTGTTTGGTATGCAATCTATTTTTTCATTGTTTTCACCTCGTAGCTTTTTAATGAATAGATGGCTGTCATACCCGGAAAGGTTATGGAATACAACCGGGATAAACCACGGTACTTGGAATTTTAGATTGCATTTATTGTGCACCACGCCTCTAAACCTTCCCGTCAAGTGACAGTGATCACGAACTTTATCTTTTTCATCCAATTTACCTTTGCATAGGCGGCATGTAGCGGCTGCGTCTTTAGACCTTCCCGTCAAGTGACAGTGTTTGAGAACTTTATCTTTAATGCCCAACTTGCCTCCGCATATGTGACACGTAGTAGCCGAGCCGTATCTCTCTGCGACGTCTTTTGTAAATATCTTGTCTGGTAATTTGAACCACTTGTAATTGTCATTGACGTCTTGCATGAGCGGGTTGATGAATTTCTGCACTACGTCGTGTTTATTGTTATTAGCGGTGAATATAACGGGGTCTTGTTTATATAGCGTATCGTCAAATCATTTTATCTGGTAGGAAAACGAGCTTGGAATGTGCTTCTGATATTTGTGCATGTAAGACTTTTCAGGGTTTGGTCGGCAGATATCCATCAGTTTAATAAACGATTCGGAATCTGCGTAGATTACAAATGGCACTCTTATCGACCTATTGTGGTTCTTAAAATATAGCATCGTGCCAGCTTCTGGGAGTTCTATCCTTTGGGGTCCGTGCTTCGAACAAAGCTCGTTGTGTTTCTTGACTCTATCAAACAGTAACCGGTCAAACATTGCATACAATAGTGCGTTGAATTGACTGATTCTTCTGTTTCCTTTGCCATCAGTCTGTTAAAGTTTTTTATCCAGGTATAGTGCTTCTTGACATCATCGGAAATAAGCAACAGATTAACAACTTTATCACTTTGACGTTTAGTCACGTACATTGGGTATACACGTCTATTATATCCAAAGACGTTAAGGCCGATACTGTTGTTTTGTTCGAACTTGCTGTAAACATGTTCCTTGACAGCAACTGGGAATTCAATACCACTCCAATCGACTTTCTCTGCTTGTTTTCTCAATACCTTTGATATTCTTTCAACGTTATGATCTACCGGGTTCAACTCTCGCATCACACTCCACATGAAGCATTTTTTGACTTTGTTCTTCATGTTGACAATCGCCTTTTTCTTCATCAAAGCAGGCAGAAGCGGAATGTATGATTTACCCTTTAACAGTCTGTAGACGCCGATGTTTATCTCCAAACTTTGTACAGCCTTGAGCCTCCAGTTACTGCTCTGCATCTGGAACGTCGCCATGGACGCCATCATCTTGTCAATGGCTTTGCTATACACTTCGTCGAGGTCGGTCACTTCTAATATAGGTTCTGACTTTGTATGAAACGCAAAATCGAAGTTGATAACTTCTCCACTTTTGTTGTCGGCACACTCCATCCTGCAACTAAGAGCCAAGTTAACTTTTGTCTCTCGATGATTAGCCAACAGATTGACAACTTCATTTCTCGCCTGTCTTAGAAACGGAATAGCATCGACTCCATCGATACCGTCGATAACATATTGCTTTACGTTTCCTTTGATCGCCAACTTGCTTTCTCTGATTTGCAGCTTGTTGTTGTAGAACCTGTTGAAAATAGAATAGACTCGTGTTTTGAACACTTTGAGTTTTTCATTCACAACTCTCTTTGGTTCTTTGGGTACATAGCTAGTAATCCAATCGGTAAATGTGTTGATGGCGGATCTGGTCTTGTCCCAAAGACTCTTAGGTGCATCCTGTATGACTGGAACTGACTCATTGAGTAATGGTTTGTAGGGCTGCTAAGTAGAGCCATCAGCTCTGCCTTTCTGAGTTTATAGTAGCCTGTTAATCCTCACTGTTTTGCGACAATATGTAATTCGTGAAGAGTTTTGTTATCCATTTTATTCTAAGAAAATAATAAAGTTAAGGTAAAATTTACTTTTGCCCTTTGGGGCTCTGCTCGACTGAGGATTTGTAATGCTTGTGAACGAGAATGAGCCAGAATAGTTTAGTGGGGTCTACTGAGGATTTGTAATGCATGAGTGCGTGAGCGAGCCAGAATAGTCATCTCCTAGCTACTTACCCTTTTTGTGGTTTTCTTTTGCATGAAATAAATATAACTTTCAGGGAAAGAGGGTGAGGAAAAAAAGTATCTTACAATTTTAGATTTGCAAAAATAACAGTTTTCAGCATTCCAGAATATATTATTGAGGGTAACAATATATTTCTTTTTCTTTTTTCCTCAGCTGGATGAACTTGAGCTTTGCAAGAACTGTTTTTATTTATCAAATGCGCGTCCTGACAATTGGTTCTGCTATCCTTGTGTAAGTTTACCTTTTCGCACAACTGAGAGTAAATATGGAATCTACTGCCCCAAGAAATGGTGATGGGAATTACCTCAGCTGTGTTAAAGAATGCGATTCATTGAAGATATGAATATAGCTGTCGGACAAAATTATAAATGTTGCCTCTAAACCCACCTCAGGGGGCCATCTTTATTCAAATACAAAGATAAGACCAGTTGTCCCAGTCAACTAACTCTGGGGTGTTAACCCCCTAAGCCCCAAATAAATCAGTCTCACACATACGTAAACTCATTTCACCCAATCAGCCACATCATAAGAATATTAAACCTGCGTCACTGGTCCTGTTTTGTTCATCTAACCCTCCAAGAAAAATTGCTGATGCAGAACTGGCTCATAAAAGCAACCTCTCTGTAGCAAATTTTGCCACACCTGACAAAAGAGATCACACTTCCTACTTTTCCTTGACTGCAGTGGCCAATTCATGTCTACCGTTAGTTACCTGGAGTTGGGGAAAAGGCTGGTACTATAATAAAACCTTGCCAGTATTTTCCTTGCTTAAGGGCTCACAGAGTAGCAAGCATTTCTTGGAGAAAGTGGATGGACACCCAGTATTCCCAAAATAGCAATTTAGGACCCAGTTAGTCTGCTTGAACAATGCCAAGACCACCTGTAGGGAGCAAACCAGCTTCACTGATCAGTTTTTATACATTGTGCAGAGAGACCCAGAACTTCCCATTTTGGAAGTCATGATTACCAAATTGTGGAATAAAGACCAGTTGAGCATTCAGAAATAATATATTTAAAATGCATCTTTTGACTCTTGCCTGTCAGTTGTGGTCTATCTACACAGCTTCCTTAGTATACATCAGACGTTTCCCATGCATGAAAGAACACAATGCCATTTTTTGCTGATAAGAAGGAACATTTATTAACTTGAAAACTTAATGAAACCAAGTTTCTTTGCTGCAAGCTAACAATGCTTAGAAACTGTGCCAGCACGATGATAATTTGTTATAATATGTGAGTACAGTATGCTAAAATATGCGGACACTGTTACATAGACCAGAGTGTTTAAAAGTGATAATCTCTGTAATCAAGACTTAGTTAAATTCTATCATGGGTAGGTTTTATTGTGGAGTCCTTGGTGCTTTCTGAGTTTGGTTGTTTTGTTGCAAACTTTTCATTACCCAGCTAAGTAACACTGACAAGGCAAGCCACATGTATATAAATAAAAAGCAAACCCCACTCCCTTCTAGCATGGATGATGTTACCTAGTTGAGTAATGAAATGTTTGCAAGAAAACCACCAAGCTCAGAGAGCACCAAGTACCTCACAGTTCAACCCGGAGTTACAAATATTCTTTTCTGTTGGTAAGTTTTATTTTCATTATGTGACAATGTTATACCTAAGACCCCACCAAGTCAGAAATACTTCTGTAACTGTACCATATTTCTATAATTTCTAGATACCAAATCATGAACTGGTTTGGGCCAAAATGAAAGGCTTTGGATTCTGGCCTGCGAAAGTCATGCAGAAAGAAGACAATCAAGTTGATGTTCGCTTTTTTGGCCATCACCACCAAAGGTATTTTCATATTTGTAGTGTCTCTTGTACACCAAGTGAGCACAGCCCTGGGTGTGGTTAATAGTGTGGATTCAGCCCAGGCAGATGCAGGTTCAAATTCACTTGAACTTTGACCCAGTCATTCTTTCACAGCCCAATCAGCCACACTGGATTGCTGTTGCAAGATGAAATTGGAGGTGGCGATGTTGTGGAGGTACAGCTGGAGGAAAAAGATCTAACAAATAAGCAACAGTACACTTCTCTTTCTAGGTGTGGTGAAATGTGGTCCAGATTTCCAGGAGGGAAGGGGTGCATTCCAGAGGACCAAAAGACAGTTTAGACAGTTGGGTTGGGAGAAAAAGAGTTCAGATGGCACCTCCCTAGAGATTTTCAGAGTACAAGTAGTCCTTGACTTACGACCACAATTGAGCCCAAAATTTCCATTGCTAAGCAAGACAGGTGCTAAGTGAGTTGTGCCCCATTTTATGACCTTTTTGCCACAGTTGTTAAATGAGTCACTGCAGTTGTTAAGTGAATTATGCAATTGTTAAGTGAATCTGGCTTTCCCCATTGACTTCACTTGTCGGAAGCCATCTGGGAAAGTTACAAATGGTGATCACATAATCCTAGGACAGTGCAACTGTCATAAATACATGCCAATTGTTAAGTGCCCAAATTTTGATCACTTGACCATAAGGATGCTGCAACAGTCATAAGTGTGAAAACTGGTCATAAGTCACTTTTTCAGTGCTGTTTTAACTTCAAATGGTCACTAAACCAATGGTTGTAAGTTGAGGTCTACCTGTATATCTATAGTGTTGTTCTGTTTAATCTACAAAAGTACTAAGCTTTCATCGGCCAAACTACCGACATCATCAGAGTGTAAAAACGCCGGATCCGGGAGTTCATTTAAATAACTGGCTGCCTCTGCGCTCTAACCCTTGAACGGGTCATTGGTCCACTCATTAGTACTGGCCGTGCTGTTCTTAAAGGGCCCGTGCTTGTGAATGCATCAGTAGCTTCCAAGGTTGCTCCCCTGCCCCCAGTCATTGTTATTCCCCTGGCGTGTGTGCGAGCGCCCAGGGGGCGGCTATCAGGTTGCTCCTGCTCTTCTCCCCCCACCCCACGTATCCTGGGCTGTTCCCATGTCTTCATCACCAAACTATCCTACGCGTTTCAGATGTCATTCTCACATTTGCTAGTCCTATTACTCCCCCTGTGCATGTACCAGCACCTGGGGAGTAAATCCCCTGTTGTTGGGTTTCTTCACTCCCCCCCTGTGCTGCCTTCGGTGGGGCGCGCGTATCCACCAGTGGGGTGGCTGTCTGACACGCCCTTGGGGTTGCTCCTCCACTCGTCAGGCTCCTTTTCTCCTCGGCCCGTGTGCAGGAGCTCAGGTAGTAGCCATCCCATCGTTTGTCTTCGATGTTCCTTGCTCCTCTCGTGGCCGGTCGATAGGTTGTGTCCGTCGCCGGGTCGTGCGGGGCTCACGTTTCCGGAGCACTTCCCTCCCCTCTCGACAAAAAACATCTACATGGCGTGTCGGGGTCTTTCCCCTGCTCGCCAATGCTGTTAGCTCCCCAATGTGTGTGTGTGTTTCTCGGGGGTGACCATCCAATAGTTCTTGCTCACTATCTCCCCCCCTTTCCGTTGTTATCCAAACTGAGTTATTTGCTTTCTGGGCATCTGTGGAGTGCACTTCCCCCCTATTCTCTTTACCCGTCAACCTTATTCGTCCCCTAGCTCACGTACACACACCTGGGGGTTGGCTGCCTGGTTGCCCCTGGCCCTCAGGGGCAGCAAAAAGAAATCTGAATTTGTAATGTATCGCAGTAGTGACTTGAGCCTGCTTAACGCCCCTAGTTGGGGGGCTGCAAGGCAAAAGTGATTGTAAAAAAGTAGAACTGCAGTACAGCAGTCAAAAATGCCAAGGTGCAATCAATTAGACCGTCTGTCTGAAAAACTTTCTGTATATACTCCCTTGACTTGGCTGACAAAGAGGGGAGGAGAGCCGGTGGCCTGGTGGTTAATACAACTGCCTAGCATGTAGGCTGCCTAGGTTCGAATCCCATAAAGGGTATGGCTAGCTGATGAGAGCATAATGAGCTCGAAATAGCTATTCTAGTCTCCCACTTAATTCTTTAACTCTTTGTCAGCAAAAAGAAATCTGAATTTGTAATGTATCGCAGTAGCGACTTGAGCCTGCTTAACGCCCCTAGTTGGGGGGCTGCAAGGCAAAAGTGATTGTAAAAAAGTAGAACTGCAGTATAGCAAAAATGCCAAGGTGCATATATTTTTGCAGCTATTAAGGACACACACACACACACACACACACACACACACACACACACACACACACACATATATATATATATATATATATATATATATATATAAAAGTGCTTTTTTGAACACCCTGTCAGCCCAAATATGGGAGGGAGAAGTCTTTTGCCTGCATCAGCTCAATCCAGAGCCATCCACAGGCAGCAGTCGCTTAACTGAGACATCATATGTGTTTTTCAAAATTTGGATTGCTAACAAAGAATTAAGGGAGTACTGGGATAGCTATTTCTAACCTTATTTGGTTTTCATCAGCCAGACATACCCTTCCGAGATTCGAACCTGGGCTGTCTGCATGTTAAGCAGAAGTATTAGCCCCTAGGCCACAGGCTCTTTCTCACTTTGTTAGCTACAAGAGACA